GCTACCGTTAAATCACGATATATAATTTTAAGTTGACCTCTTTTGAGCAGCTTCAGTATTTAATAGCTGATGCATCTTAGAGCCAGGATAATACCTGTAAGTTTCGTTTCTGTGCCGGCAAATTTGTTTAAAATAGTGCAAAAACAAATTTGGAATTATGGGAAACCTTGTACTGCTGCCCCCAAGGAGAATTTTTTGTGAAACATAGGGGAAACCTACCAATATAAAATTCTCTCCCCGGGGAAAGAAGTTGATTTTAATACAGTCTTATTAGAATAAAAGGTTTCCCAGAAATACCTTTTCCGTTCCACCACAAATAACAGTGCTGACAAAAACATAAAATTTCATATCGTTTAGAAATCTTCATTTCAAAACCCACAATCAATCACCTACTGGCTCGTTACACAATACGCTCTTATAAGTTTTTAAGCAAAACCATTTTCCTTTATTTTATTTCCTGATACCAGTTTTATCCTTAATACAAAAAAAATTGTTTAAATTTGGGGGATACCTTTTTTACCCCCCATATTACCTTCTCCTTAATCATCCATCAGGTAAACTAATTGCCAACACATAGGAGTAACCCCTAGTATTAAAATTAGGTATTCCGGGATAAAAGAGGGATGACACACGAGAATAATACCCCTGGAGTTTACCTGGGGGGTATTTCGGGGCTCAACCCCCCCGCAGCCCCGGTTCAGCCCAGGCACCCCGGTGGATCACACCCTGACAGCCAGCATCCAACGTACAAACCACAGCCAGGTGACCCGGCACCGATTTATCTTTCGCCCCTTTGAAGGCGCCGGGCCTAGGGAATTCCCCCTTATGGGGGTGGAGGCGTTGAAAATTTTGGGGCCCCCGGATCTTATGGGTTTTTCTTATGTCCCAAGGCCCCCCTACTTTTCTTGGGGATATTTTGCCCGCTGCCCCTCTTTATTTTCGTAGGGAGTGATTTCTGGTCCAGATTCGGGACCATCCCCTTTTAAATTTTGGGTAGATTATGATTATCTCTCTCTCCGCGTTTCCACGAGTACAAGTCAGTGCTTCCCAAACTTTCCCCGTAGTTAGGTGTGTGAAAATTATAGTGCAATAAAGGTTCTCGTACTCTACTCCAATTCACCTGTTTTTTAAATGAATGTTTTAAAGGCAGCAAAATTCCACCAGAGAAGCAAGTTTTTTAAAAAGGGGCATCCCTTGGGTTGGTATCTTTTCCTGAACTTCTCATTATCCCGCCTATTTTGTATTGTGATGTGGCACTGTTGTGATCCTTGAAAGTGAAGCCCAAAATTTCCCCTCCAGTCCCTCCCTTTTTTTTCCCCTCTGTATTGACAGATTTGAGTAATTTTCTGTTATTATCCCTCCAGTTTTCCATAACGGAGTAGTTAGAATTTGTCTTCATCGAACATCATATTGTTTTCCGTTGCCCTCTTGAAAATTTTGTTTATATCTTCTTGGAGGTTAACCGTGTCCTCAATAGATGACAGTCTCATGCAGATCCTAGTATAGTCTGCAAAGGATGTCACGGTGCTGTGGATTACATCTCTGTTTATGTCTGATATAAGGATGAGGAACAGGATGGGAAAGAGTACTGTGACTTGTGGAACAGAGCTTTTCACTATGGCAGCTTCCGATTTAACTCTGTTGACCACTACTCTTTGTGTTCGACTGGTTAGAGAGTTGAAGATCCATCTCCCCACTTTGCCAATTATTCCTTTAGCACACATTTTGTGTGCTATTACACCATAATCGCACCTGTCAAAGACTTTTGCAAAATCTGTGTATACTACATCAGCATTCTGTTTGTTTTCCACTTCATCCATGTTTCCCTGGATTGTGCAGTTTTTGGGAATCCAAATGATTTGCACTAGTGCTTCTTAGCATTCTTTCAAAGATTTTTATTTGTGTATAGTTCTTAGCTAATGCTTTGCTGCCACCTTTATGGAGTGGGGCTATATCCGTTGTTTTCAGTGATCTGGAATCTCACCTGTGTCTATGCTACTTCTCCAATAGCATACTTAGGGCCCGTGAGAGGGGTTTCTTGCAGTTCTTAATGAACACAGAGTTCTACGAGTCTGGGCCTGGGGCTGAGTGCATGGGCATGTTATCAATGGCTTTCTCAAAGTCTAGTGGAGTTAGGGTTACTTCAGAAATTTGGCATACATTGACAGGGTTTTGAGGCTCATTCATGAAAAAAATTATTTGGATTGTCTATCTTTACACTGATTAGTGGCTCGCTGAACACAGAGTCATATTGAGATTTCAGTATCTCACTCATTTCTTTGTTGTCATCTGTGTAGGATCCATCTTGTCTGAGCAGGGGCCCTATACTAGATGTGGTTTTTGCCTTGTTTGTGGCATATGAACAGAAATATTTCAAATTTCTTTCAATTTCACTAATCGCTTTTAGCTCCTCCTGTTTTTCCTGGAACCTGTATGAGTCCTTTAAGTTATGTTCAATGTTTTCTATTTCCCTGATTAGAGGATCCTTCCGTGTTTCAGATAATCTAACATTCTTGAGGAGCCCAGTGATTCTTCACCTCCTGTAGAGGGAGCGTCTCACTCTCTCTACAGTTTACTTCTCTTCTTTTTTTCTTAGGGGAATATGCTTTAAACATACTTCAGCTACGAAAAAGTTGATCTTTTCAGGACACTGGTTAGGGTCCATGTAATTTAAGATATCTTCCCAACATGTTTCATTTAGGACATAGTTTACCTGGTCCTAGTTGATCTTGTTTTTGAAGCTGAATTTGGTGAAGGTGCCCTCATAGCTGTATGCATTTTGCTGCTCAGGACCCTTGTGAATGTAAGTCTGGACTTCAGTTAGATTGTGATCAGAATTAGTTGTTTTTTTATATTGTTATGTTTCTTATCAGGTCCTCATTATTTGTGAAGATAAGGTCAAGTGTGTTTTGCAGTCTTGTTGGCTCCACTATCTGCTGACTTAGGGTGTGTTTATTGTAGAAATTCAGCAGCTCATGTGTGTGTGACTTTTCACCTGAGCTGTATCCGGGGATTATTTCTGCTACAACAGTATTTCCTACATTCTTTCATTTTGTATGTCTTAGATTGAACTCACCAAGCAGCAAGATGTTTGGAAGTGTCTGGAAGGTTTGGCAGACAGTAGTCAATTTTCGATAGCTGTTCCTTGAACTGTTGAGAAGTTGCATCTGGTGGCTTATATACAAGCACAATGACTAAGTTTTGGTTCTCGATTTTTATTGTTAGAACTTCAACTACATCATTTGTGGTGTTCAGCATCTCTGTGCAAATGAGCGACTCTTTGATATACAGGCCAACTCCCCCCCCCCATCACCCTTGTTGCCTGTTATTTCTGTCGCATTTGAAAAGGTTGTACCCAGGTATCCATATTTCACTGTCAAAGTAATCTTTTGCGTGGGTCTCTGTGAAGGCTGCAAACATTACATTTGACTTCCCTAGAAGTCCACTAATGAAAGGTATCGTGTTGTTTGTGGATGGCTTAAGGCCCTGTATATTAGCAAATATAAATGAGGCCGTGTTGCATGTTTGTTGGGGGGATTTTGTTGTTGGCATCAGTAGCTGTGAGTCTGGAGGGGCCACTGGCTGTGCCTCCAGTCCAACAAGACTCCAAAGTGGTTAACTATTTTGGTTATTGCTAACCATTTTCTTTCTTCGTTTCCTACCACTAAAAAATCACTTGGAGTGGGAGGATGGATTGTGTGTGTGTAGAACTGACCACTGTTACTCAGGTTAATGAGCGTCCAACGCAGTGACAGCCACCTTTGCGTCAACTCCCCCTATCGTCAACAAATAATGAGGCGATCCGGTATACTCCAGTGGCTGTAACAATGTGGCTCGTACACCCCGGGAGTTCGCGAGCCATCTTGGCTGAAACACTGTGGTTCGCACATCCTGGGAATTCGCGAGCCATCTTGGGTACGCGAGAAAAAATTGGGAGTTACAGAATTCATATATACCTATTTTGATCAGATTTTAAACAATTTCAAGATACATTTAATTATGAACATTTACATTTTAAATTCATACGCTACAGTGGAATATGAAGTTCATGGACGCGTGCCATGATACTTGTGGCTGCAAACACACTGACTATAAGTGATAAATGTGATGGAAGATACGTGTATAAACACCTGGGAACCTCTGCTCACCACAGCATGATTTTCCACATTAATGCAAAACACACAGCAGATCACTTAGTGTGGTACAACTCTTCGTTCATATTTCGTAAACATGGATGGCCTTAGGTTAGGTAATGTTTGTCAGGAAACAGGACAAGTGTTTCCTGTCACGGGTCTTAGTCATATGATGACTCGCAGCTGGAGCTTTTAGTCATCTGACAGAGGCCTTCCACTGGCTCACCCGTCCACGGTTATGCCCCCTGGCTGATCTGATGAGGTGAGTGTAAATTGGCATCCGGTTTTCCCACCTCGAGAGATTCTGATGTTCATAAACGTTTACTAATAACTCTCAGTCAAACGTATAGCAACATTTTATAATCTATTTGTGGTTATATGTTTTTATAGGTTAATGTAATCTATACTATCAAAACTTAATCTAAGTTAAACTATGTAAAAGTAATATAAGAAACGTTATTATAAGCTTGTGTAAAAAACGTTTTAGAAATGCCTACAGGAATTGTCAACAGATATAATGGAAGGAAAATGAGATTAAGTTACGATTGAAGACTTCCGGGAGGAGAGAACGGTGCTTTCTGGAGAGAGACACACACACAACACTTAACGGGAGATAGAACACCTACCAGGAGACACAGAACACTTACCGGGAGACAAAATACATAGGAACACAGAAAGACACAACACCTACCAGGAGACACGCAGACAGAAACGCAGACAGAACACTTACCTGGAGGCAGAACACCTACCATGAGATAGAGAGAATACTTATAAGGAGACAGATAAAACACTTACCGGGAGACAGAATATCGCAGAGCACAGAAAAACACAACACCTGCCATGAAGACACACAGGCAGAACACCTACCAGGAGACAGGAAGAGAGCATTCACGGTGTTGATGTGTTTAGCAAGGCGACGCACCAATGACTGCACTACCACAAGATGAACTGGCAACTCCAGCACTGTCTGCACTGCTGCCAGCCAGGGATCACTGCTGCCCTCCTACCCCCCCCCCCCCAGCACTGCTGCCAGCCAGAGGTCACTGCTCCCAGACAGGGGTCATTGCTGCCCTCCTACCCTCCCAGCACTGCTGCCAGCCAGGGATCACTGCTCCCAGACAGGAATCATTGCTGCCCTCCTACCCTCCCAGCACTGCTGCCAGCCAGGGATCACTGCTCCCAGACAGGAGTCATTGCTGCCCTCCTACCCTCCCAGCACTGCTGCCAGCCAGGGGTCACTACTGCCCTTCTACCCTCCCAGCACTGCTGCCAGCCAGGGGTCACTACTGCCCTCCCACCTAACCAGTACTGCTCTCAGACGGATCACTGCTTCACTCCTACCCTCCCAGCACTGCTGCCAGCAAGGGGTCACTGCTGTCCTACTACCCTCCTAGCACTGCTGAAAGCCAGGGGTCATTGCTCCCAGACTGGAATCACTGCTGCCAGCCAGGGATCACTGCTGACCTACCCTCCCAGCACTTCTCCAAGCCAGGGGTCACTGCTGACCTCCCAGAATTGCTGCCAGCCAAGTGTCACTGCTGCTCTCCTACCCTACTAACACTGCTGCCAGCCAGGGGTCACTGCTGACCTTCCAGCACTGCTGCCAGCCAGAGGTCACTGCTGACCTTCCAGGACTTCTACTAGCCAGGGGTCACTGCTGACCTACCCTACCAGCACTGCTGCCAGCCTGGGGTCACTGCTGCCCTCCTACCCTCCCAGCACTGTTCCCAGCCTGGGGTCACTGCTGCCCTCCCCTCCCAGCACTGCTGCCAGCCTGGGATCACTGCTGCCCTCCTACCCTCCCAGCAATGCTTCCAGCCAGAAGTCGCTGTTACCCTTCTACCATCCCAGCACTGCTGCCAGCCAGGAATCACTGCTGCCCTCCTACCCTCCTGGTACTGCTGCCAGCCAGGGGTCACTGTTGTCATGTAGGGGGGTAATGATTGAATATAAGTGGGGAATATGGGAGTAAGGGATTATGTAGGCAGGGGAGAGGCAGGCGAGGTGGTAGGAGTGAGATGATTAGCGGAGGTAGGTAGGTAATGGCAGGTCAGTGGTGACCATCACGACACTCATTAACTCTACACTACTCACTAACATATGCCTCGTCCATTCTTCACTCATATATAAACATAATAAAATATAAGAAAAAAAGACAGGGACAGTGAATATTACTATTCTACTCAAACACAGTTTATTATTACGTCTTTGTACCATAATATATTTGGGAACAGAACATTATTGTGGTTTAGATAAATGGGGTGGTACACATAAGCAGTGAGACAGGGAACACAATCAACTTGACCAAAATGAATGTAACTTACAATATAGCACAGAGGACAGTTCACTACAGGAACTAAGCCAAAAGGTCCCAAGACCTACACAGCACGAGTACTGCGCCAAGCCAGTACTCTGCCCAATGCCTCCAACAGTCTCCTCCAGAGATTTCAGCAGCCTTCTCCCGAGCCCTGCACCCCAGCAGCAGCTCCTCTCGAAATGTCTCTGCTCAGAGCTCTGCACCCAGGCCAGAGCTCTGCCGAATCTTCTGCTCAGGAGCTCTGCGCCCCAGCGCAGCTCCGCTCCAATCTCATGATCATGCTCTTCCTTGGGCTTTTATGGTGGTCCAAGCACCCTCCACAACCACGTGTACGAACCTGACGCCTAGGTCTGAGGCGTCAAGAACAAAAGACCTCAGACGTGGGCGTGGCTACAGACGTTTGCCAAGGCAAGGTGTGACCATATAATTGGTTAAATTAGGTCTCCCCAGAGACCTCACAAGCCCAGCTGGACTACATCACATCCCCCTTTCTCCCCCAATTTAAAATATCTGAGAACTAGGACAATTTGTCCTAGTTATTAGACTATTTTAATCCTTATCCCTTAAATCTATTGCAATACAAAGACAAAATTATACATAATACAATTATATTTCCCTCAACCTCCTCAACTACCACAAGGCAGCATAATCAGTACCTCTGGCAGTTGGCCAGCATAATAGTCGCTCTCTGGTGCAAAGCCTCCTTACCCGTTATTTCTCCTTAAACCTAAATATTCGGGCTCCAGTGCCTTCCCTACTTCTATAGAATTACACTAGCCAATGCTAGTCACCCTCGCACCATTAACCATTGGGCCAAACCTCTCTAGGCTTCTATGGCGTGGAAAACTGCTCCAACGGGTTGCATTCTTTCAAGTAACTGCAACTGGACCACTTCACGACCACCAAGGTCGCATTTTCGGCACACTTCACATTCACACTACAACATCTGAAAATCGAGACAGGGCAGGCATCGCAGCTAAGACCCTCCATTATCCTATGCCACTACTAGGATTCACTGGCCTCATAAAACAAGGCGGCCATAATCACTGGACCGTTTTCAAGGTCACCTTATTCCTCACAGGTAACACTAACACTTCTGGCAAGTCAAAGTAGGCTGGGGACATCTCACACTCTTAATGGTCTCTCATGGCTGGCAGGGCATCCCCGCATACCTGTCGCACAGGTTTGACCAGCAAGGCAGGACACACCTCCATGCCGCCCTTGAAAGCAGGCTGGTCCCAGCAGCTGGAGTCCATCTCCGCGGCTCACGTCCTTCCACATCTCCGAGGATGGCAAAATCCTTCATAGTAGATTCTCCTGTCCTGGCACACCAGCCAGAATCCCTCACACACCACTGCAGCATCACCGCCATCTCCTCTTGAGCTAGGCAGCATCGCAGCATCACAGCACGGCCACAGCATATCCATCATCACAGCACGGCCGTATCACAGCAGCACATAGCACGGCCGTATCACAGCAGCACACAGCACGGCCACAGCATCGCAGCACGGCTACAGCATCGCAGCACGGTCCCAGCATCACAACACGGCCGCAGTGTCTCAACATCACAGCACGGCCGCAGCATCTCAACATCACAGCAGCACACAGCACGGCCACAGCATTGCAGCACGGCTACAGCATCGCAGCACGGTCCCAGCATCACAGCACGGCCGCAGTGTCTCAACATCACAGCACGGCCGCAGCATCTCAACATCACAGCAGCACACAGCACGGCCACAGCATTGCAGCACGGCTACAGCATCTCAGCACGGCCACAGCATAGCAGCACGGCTACAGCATCTCAGCAGCATCACAGCAGCCGACATCAGCAGTAGCAGGCTATGGTCAGTTGCTCGAGGTGAGGTGAGGTCACTTCAGGTCATCAACAGCAAAGGTGCGGTCACCCATCCCTGGCAACTGCGAGTAACTGGCGGTCCGTGGGTGATTTGGGCACAGAGGCTGGGTGACGCAACAGACAACCCACTACACTGGATTGACAGACCAGGCAGCAATACATCTACTGGGGGCACATAAGCTGGGTGACTGGGCATATCAGCTGGGTGACTGGGCACATCAGGTGGACAGCAATTATAGGCAACTCCTTCAATGGTGACAGTTGTGGGTGAGTCTTCCAAGGTGGGCTGGGTGGGCTTCTCATTCCTCTGTAAATATTCAATTTCAGGCCAGTAATTGCTTACCCCGAAAAGTCTCCACCCAAATAACTGATATTCTCACCATTTGTCTCAAACCAACAACCAACTCCACCAAATATATTATTAACACCCAAACAATTATTCAACCCACACGTCAAAAAAGGACAGTTAAGGTCACTAGATTTATGATATCATACAGATATTCACTTTAGATTTTACACACAAGAAAAAAAAAAGCGGTAGCAAATGGTAGCATAACAAGTATAACCGAGCAGTCAAAAATAAGGCACATGGACTGGTTCCTACTATAAAAATTTAAAAAGAACCACCACCGCTTAGACACCATGTCATGTAGGGGGGTAATGATTGAATATAAGTGGGGAATATGGGAGTAAGGGATTATGTAGGCAGGGGAGAGGCAGGCGAGGTGGTAGGAGTGAGATGATTAGCGGAGGTAGGTAGGTAATGGCAGGTCAGTGGTGACCATCACGACACTCATTAACTCCCACACTACTCACAAACATATGCTTCGTCCATTCTTCACTCATATATAAACATAATAAAATATAAGAAAAAAAAGACAGGGAAAAGTGAATATTACTATTCTACTCAAACACAGTTTATTATTACGTCTTTGTACCATAATATATTTGGGAACAGAACATTATTGTGGTTTAGATAAATGGGGTGGTACACATAAGCAGTGAGACAGGGAACACAATCAACTTGACCAAAATGAATGTAACTTACAATATAGCACAGAGGACAGTTCAAATACAGGAACTAAGCCACAGGTCCCAAGACCTACACAGCACGAGTACTGCGCCAAGCCAGTACTCTGCCCAATGCCTCCAACAGTCTCCTCCAGAGACTTCAGCAGCCTTCTCCCGAGCCCTGCACCCCAGCAGCAGCTCCTCTCGAAATGTCTCTGCTCAGAGCTCTGCACCCAGGCCAGAGCTCTGGGCCCCAATCTTCTGCTCAGGAGCTCTGCGCCCCAGCAGCAGCTCCGCTCCAATCTCATGATCATGCTCTTCCTTGGGCTTTTATGGTGGTCCAAGCACCCTCCACAACCACGTGTACGACCTGACGCCTAGGTCTGAGGCGTCAAGAACAAAAGACCTCAGACGTGGGCGTGGCTACAGACGTTTGCCAAGGCAAGGTGTGACCATATAATTGGTTAAATTAGGTCTCCCCAGAGACCTCACAAGCCCAGCTGGACTACATCACACTGTTACCCTTCTACCATCCCAGCACTGCTGCCAGCCAGGAATCACTGCTGCCCTCCTACCCTCCTGGTACTGCTGCCAGCCAGGGGTCACTGTTACCCTTCTACCATCCCAGCACTGCTGCCAGCCAGGAATCACTGCTGCCCTCCTACCTTCCCAGCACTGCTGCCAGCCAGGGGTCACTGCTACCCTCCTACCTTCCCAGCACTGCTGCCAGCCAGGGGTCACTGTTACCCTCCCAGCACTCACTACTCTAAGTATCACCTTCAACCCACGGCATATCATTAACTCACCACCCATCCTAAACCCACCGCCCACCATTAACCCA